GCTCCTTGCAAATACCTGGAGCCCATTCCTTCTCTGTCTCCACATCAACTTCCCAGTGGATATTCCTCCTGACTGGCTCCTTGCAAATACCTGGAGCCCAATCCTTCTCTGTCTCCACATCAACTTCCCAGGAGCAGACTGATAAAAATTGGGAGCTGTCCTTGACGCACGCTGAGGGAGTAAATCTTCTGGGTTCTTCCACCAAATTATGACCAGGCTTCCGATTGCAGACACTCCTTAAATCATTAGAGGGTTCCAGGGAGGAGTCACCAGTCTTAGCTGCTAGAGCTGTATTCTCTGAGACCAATTCCAGAAGTCTAGTGATCTGCCCTTGATGTTGCTTCAGTAAGGGGCCATGCTGCCTTAAAAGGATGACCAATTGTCTCATTATCGCATCGTACTTGGTAGGTCTGTTGTTTTCTCCTCGACAAATGGGACAGGTCATGATCAAGTCTTCTTTTCTTGCCATCCACTTTTTACTGCACTCAAGGCAAAATACATGGGCGCAGGAGAGATACACAGGATCCGAGAAAAGGTCCAGGCATACTGCACAGATTGCCTCCATTGCCAAATTGGTTTTCAATTGGTGAAACAACTATTCTCCAGTTTCTGGAAGTAACTGGCAACCTTTGACACCTGAGATGTAAATAAATCCAATACAAATATTGAATACTTATCTACATAGTAAATACTTATCTACATAGTTCTAAGTGATACTAGGCCACCAAAGAATCATAAGTTTATCATCTGTGACATTTTTTTTGGCTGTCCTGGAACTCACTCTGTAGACCAGGCTGACCTCAAACTCAGAAATCCGCCTGTCTCTGCCTCCCAAGTGCTGGGATTAAAGGCGTGCGACACCACTGCCCGGCCATCTGTGATATTTTTTAAAGATATCTAAAATGATCCAAAATTCAAGTGGTTACAAGAGAGACAAAGCAGCCATGGTTGTCTTTTCAGTCAGGCAAGCTTTCAGGAATTCTCTGGGAACTTCTGGGTGAAGAGTTATCTTCTCTGATCAAAACTTTTGCTTGTGGGCACTGATCTCTCCTGGATCTTTAACTGATCTAGACGAGACTAGAAATCCTCACCTTTCACCCTAATCAATATGTCTTTGTAAGGCACTTCCAGATTTCTATTTCCTGTTTGTAAGGACTTTATCGAGGATTGTTTTTATTAGTTTATTTATTTATTTATCCAGTTTACATCCTGAGTTCTGCCCACCGCCCACTACAACCACTGAACCTTGGTCTCCATGTGGGTCCAGGAAAATTTTAAAGAAGATGTAGGCCAACAATGCCAAGGCAATCAGTGAATGCGCAGAGGCCATCAAGAAGGCCTCCTGAAGCCTCGGGCAGTTAAGCCTAAGAAGCCCACTGAACTGTCTTGCTTTCATTGCTCACCCCAAGCTTGGGAAGCAGATTGGAAGATAAGTGGTCTAGGTCCATAGGCTCTACCAACCAAAGCCCAAGGTTCAAACCAAGGCAGAGACTAAAGCTCCAGCTAAGGCCCAGGCTTCAGCTCCACCTCAGGCTCCCAAAGGTGCCCAGGCCCCTGTGAAGGCCCCATAGAAAAGAGTTCTCTGCTAAAGGGAAGACAGACGGACTGCTGTGACACATATATACACAGTGTTCGCAGATGACCAGTGTCCTATGCTGTTTTTACAAATAAACCTAAGGCAAAAAATTAATTCATTCATTAATTTAAAAATCTAATCAAGTAAACATTGATCCTGATCTTCCACACACGTCGTTTTGTAGTTGTTAAAGAATTATACTTTTAGACAATTAGATGTCATTAAACGTCACCTAAGTGATTATACAATACTTCATACTAATGCTTGAGTATGAAGCAAGACTGATGCCATGCAAATGACATTTTTCTACTTTCAGAACTCAACTGTTGGAAACAAAATGTACTAGAAACCAAATTCATCCTTGGTTGTAAATCTGTCTGACATATTCATAAGTAAACAGAATCTAAAACAATTTATATGTCAATTACCTACTTTAGGGATCACTTACTAGACAGAAGAATAGTGTCAAAATGAATATAGCAATCTGTATATTTCTGTATTGCATTGATTTCCTTTTCTTTGGGTATATACTGAGAAATTATATTGTTGGACCATAAGGTAGTTAGGTAGAATTTTTTTACTGGTTTCCTTAATGTCTGTATTAGTTGTATGACAAATCTTTCACTGGGAAGATGCAATGCATACATGTTCTCACCCCAGACAGGAAACCCACGACAGACCAAAGTACAGTTCAGATCTCACCAAAGGCTGATTAGTTTTGGTTTTGGTTTTGTCTCATACATAAACAAAAGTACCAAAAAGGTTTCATAGACAGGCATGGTGGTGCATGCCCTTAATCTCAGTACTCCGGAGGTAGAGGCAGGAGGGTCTCTGTTAGTTAAAGCCCAGCTCTTCAAAGTGAGTTCCAGGACAGCTAGGGCTATTTCACAAAGAAACCCTGTCTCAAAAAACAAAAACAGAAACAAAAAAAAAAGTTCTTATGAATTACATGTCGTATATCATGCAATTAGAAATTAAAATTGAAAAGAAAAAAAAGACCAGCTATGGTGTGCATGCCCTGAATTCCAGCACTCAGGAGGCAAAAGCAGACTGGTGTCTATGAGTTAAAACCTGATCTACATAATGAGTTCAAGGACAGCCAGGGATACATAAGACTTTGTCTAAGAAAGAAAGAAAGAAAGAAAGAAAGAAAGAAAGAAAGAAAGAAAGGAAGGAAGGAAGGAAAGAAAGAAAGAGAGGGAGCTGGTGAGATGACTCAGTTAAGAGCAGTTAAGAGCCCTGGCTGCTCTTCTGAAGGGTCCTGAGTTCAATTCCCAGCAACCACATGGTGGCTCACAACCATCTATAAGGGGAACTGATGCCTTCTTCTGACATGTGGATATATATGCAGCAGAGCACTCATACAATAAATAAGTTTTTAAAAAAGTAAAAGAAATAAGGGAGAGAGGGGAAGGGAGGAGGGGCAGGAGGAAGGGAGGAAGGGAGGGGAAGGGAAAAGTACTATGGAGAACAAACCTGCTTCTACAGATATTCGGTTAGAAAGAATGGGTGTGAGGGACTTGAATGTCCCTTAGAAAGAGCTTTGGGATACCAGGATACTCTTCTACTAATTAAGAGTCAGTGTTCTGACTTCCGGTCTGGGCCCGAGCACAGGGTACATCCCAGGCAGCAGCTCTGCACCCAATCTCACAAAACCCAGTGGAAGTGGGGCTCCCATGGGGTTTTAACACGGGCAGTATCTCAGTAAAAATGAATCACCCGTGATGTCTGCTGTTAGAAGTTCTAATCCTGATGCTGGCCTCCAGACTTTACTACTCAGACCTTCAATGGGCCATTGACAAGGACATCAAACAACTAGAGATTGACATCACTAATCTGAAGAAATTCCTCATTTCACTGTCTGAAGTGATCTCCAAAAATTGCAAAGGGGTTTATTGGACTTGATTTACTCTTTTACAATAGAAAAGACTGTGTATAGCTCTTGACTGTGTACAGCCCTTAAAGAAGAATGTTGCTTTTACATAGACAAGACAGGGATTGTTAAAAAGAGCATAAAAAAGGTCAGAGAAGGCCCTGAGAAAAGACAAAGAGAGAAAGAGAAAGATGAGCCTTTGGGCTGGGGCAGACACAGAGTTGGTCTGCTCCTGTCCTGTGGAGATACTGAATTCTGAGTAATCTTAGAAGAGACACTGCACTCAGAGCAGCCGGTAAGAACTCCATCTCACTCCCTAAGCCCCAGAGATACATCTGGGAGCCAGGGACATTTAGGATACAGCAGCTCCCCAAACCCTGCCCCTCCAGAATTCCACTTCCCTTCTGCCCCTGCCTGGTCCTTTAGGCTGGGGCAGACACAGAGCCGATCTGTTCCTGTCCTGTGGAGATACTGAATCCTGAGTCATCGAGGAGCCACTGCACTCAGAGCAGAAGGATTTCCAGATCCAAGAGGTGGCCTGAGTCCCAGGAGTTCTTCCACCCAGGAGATTAGGAGCATAAGACCACAGAGACATCTGGACTCTGAGGAGCTCTGCAACAAGCAAGATAACTGGAAATACAGACTCCAGTCTTACACAGTGAGGGCAGGTAACACTAGAGTTAACCAGATGGCGAAAGGCAAGCACAAGAACATAAGCAACAGAAACCAAAGTTTCTTGGCATCATCAGTACCCAGTTCTCCCAATATAGCAAGCCCTGAACACCCCATCACACCTGAAAAGCAGGATTCAGAATTAAAATCACTTCTCATGATGATGATAGAGGATTATAAGAAGGAATTAAGTAACTCCCTTAAAGAAATACAGGAGAGTACAAGTAAACAGATAGAAGCCCTTAAAGAGGAATCACAGAAATCCCTTAAAGAAATGCAAGAAAACACAAAGAAGGAATTAAACAAAAACATTCAGGATCTGAAACTGTAAATAGAAACAATAAAGAAAGTTCAAAGGGAGACAACCATGGAGATAGAAAACCTAAGAAAGAGATCAGGAGTCA